GGCAACAACTCGGAACTGGAACGTTTTCAGAGTTTCAAAGTCAAAACCTTTTAAAGCCAAAATATCTCCATTTTCAGGATTGATATTAAGAAATGAGGTGAATTTATTATCTCCGCTTGCTTCTCTGGAAATATGATAAGAAATGAGAGCGTTATCACTCTCATCACAGTCAAAGGCTTTTACTGAAAATACGGAGGCTCCGGGGCTGTTATTCTCGGTGACATAAAATACATAGGGGCTGGATGAAAACACTGGACGATTGTCATTTACATCTGATACCACAACGCTTATCGTCTTTTCAGATGAAAATATCGGATCACCTGAATCTTTTGCAATAATTGTTACATCAAATTGGGAAACATTTTCTCTGTCCAACTGCGACCTGGTCACAACAGCGTACATGTTCTCTTGCAACGATGGGGCTAAAGTAAACGGCACTTCTTCTTTGATCGTGCAAATGACTTTGCCATTGTCTCCAGAGTCTAAATCATTAACACTGATCAGGGCAACTGTAGTTCCTATCTTTGAATCTTCCTTGATAGAGCTAGAAAATGATGTCACTTCTATCTCAGGTGCATTATCATTAACATCAATAACAGTTATCATAACACTTTTGTCAGTTGTAAGAGGAGCTTGTCCTTTATCAGACGCTTGAATGTCAATTTCATAACTTTTACTTTGCTCAAAATCTATTTGACCGGTTACCTTAATTTCACCAGTGTGTGCGTCTATAGTAAATACATTAATCACTTTTGAATCAACTTCGTGACCAAATGAATATATTATTTCGCTATTTGCACCCTGGTCCAAATCGGTTGCATTTACCTGAATCACCACAGTGCCAACGGGGGCGTTTTCCTTCAGTGTGGAAGAATAAAACTCTTTGATAAACACCGGGGAGTTGTCATTAACATCCAGTACATCCACAATAATATCTATAGCGCCCGACTTCACCGGTTTTCCTCCATCAACTGCTGTTAGACGTAGCTTAAGTTTCCCGGCCGTTTCTCTGTCCAACTGCTTCTGCAGGACTAAAAAGGGTACTTTACGGTCCTCGCCTCTATCCTTGACTTCTAATCTAAAATATTCGTTATGACTGAGTCTATATTGCTGTATTGAGAACTGTCCTACGTCGTCATCGTGCGCAGCCTGTAGTTGAAATCTCGCTCCTGTTAAGGCCGACTCGGAAATCTCAAGCCTTTTCTCTTTCTCTGGAAAAACAGGCGAGTGGTCATTTATATCAAGTATTTCCACTACCACGTAGTGGATCTCCAGTGGGTTTTCTAACACGGTTTTCAGATTGATCAAACATGGGCTGGTCCGGTCGCACACCTCCTCCCTGTCTATTCCTCTTGTCACATACAATATACCATCGTTTTGATTCAGGTGAAACAGGGGCTCCGTTGAGCCTGCTACAATGCGATATCCTCTGTCTTTGAGTGCGCTCTTATCTAGCCCCAAATCCTTAGCTATGTTCCCGACGACTGTTTCACGTTGAACCTCCTCAGATATGGAATATCTGATCTGTGCAGAAGCTCCGTTGCATACAACGTCCAAAACAACCATGAAGAAAAAACAAAACTGTCGGCCCCTCCATGCTTTGCGTCCTCTTTGTTCCATGACTTGAACGTGACAAATAACTGTCCATTAATTTCTTCGTGATGTCAATGACACCTAAACCGCCATGTTTCTAAACGATGCAGCGTCTTTTGTTTCACCAAACTGCTGAAAATAAAACACTCGTTGCCAATCGCGATCTTGCGCTCAAATGCTGAGTGAAATGCAAGGGCCCGGTCCAAATGTAGCTCGTGACGCAAGGTGCTGCCAGATGCACAGAATCACTGAACTACACTGACACCAAGTGTTGAAATTGTTATTTACACGGATTGCAGTCGTTCAAAGTTATCAAATGTTCAGAGAAAATACATCTCCACATTGAGATATAGACCTGCTTTGACCGTGAGGAAATTCACATGCTGCAACGTTGTTCTCTCTATTTACATTCCAGGCCAAACCACACATCGAAGGATATCGCCATAATACTCATCATCACCATGAATCGCAGCTGCCAAAATATTGTAAAATAACATCTATCTGTTCAAGCACCATTACAAATATATCCTCAAAAATTGTATAGTAAATACACCACGATCAGAACCAAAAAGCTGTTATACAAAGTAAAATGAGTCCTAAAGTTTGTAGCCGTTTTAGATGCTGCTTGTGAGAAAGGTGTAGCTTCCCTGCTATAGAGAGAAAGTCAGAGGATCCTTATTCAAAACAAGCGTAAAGTATCAGCACATCGACAGAATCAGACTTACATACTATTAATCTTACCTCTCCAGATGGATGTCTCCTGTCAGGGAGCACGAGTGTGTTCGCGTGGCTGCCCGGGACTATAGTAGATCCTACACTCAT